TTTAAGTCTTGTATTTGTTTGTGTTAGTTATGAGTCTGAACACTATCTCTGTCTCTACAGTAGTTACACAGAACCCAAAAGAATATTGTATCCATAGAAATTATAAGTTACACAGATGATATAAAAAGCATGCACTCTATAGTAAAGAACAACGTAAACCGACTGTAGTTCAAATGGCTGAATACTAGAAGTATCCCAGCATACCTCTTGGTGAAAATTGCATTATATAATATATACACATATATTCATTCATACATATATAGATATTTTTTAATTTGTTATTTGAAACTGTGAAATGCATTTGGAAAGCTACTAAATCAGAAGACATGGTAATGAAGGTGAACTTCAGTTATTTAATATAATTTACAACACATTTTCTGAGTTGTGATCAAAGTGTTATATTGGACATTGAGTCGATAGATCATTAATAAATATAATTCCATTTTATTGCAAGAATTCATAGTCTGCCATTTGACAGAACATCTTTTTGGAACAAGATACAGTAATAGATATTTAGATAGGGCAAATGAAGACAAGCCGTAGACCTAGAGTTGGTTCTGAAAACCAGTGTAACATATATTTAAGTGAATCAATAACTTCCAGTGATGACAAAATGAAAACTTGAACATTCATTACAGGTAAAATAGCATGTGGTTAAGATGATAGACTTTGCATCTAGATAGCCCAATTTTGAATGAAGACTCCACTGTTTTCCAAATATGTGACTTTATCCAAGTTATTCACCTTTCTTAGCTCCATACGTAAAATGAGAATAATAGCAACACTGTCTTGTAAGGCGTTCTTGAGAATTATATGAATTGATATATATAAAGTGCTAGAATAGGTCCTGCTTTATTAAGCACTTTCTAGGTGTTTGAAGCTATTGGTATTATTGACATCATTATTACTATTTATTACTATGATTACCAATACTGTTATTCTGAAGAGGAAAAAGAAGGAAAAAAACATTGAAAAGTCAGTCTCATGCAAAATGCTAGCATTAAGAAAATAACATTTGGGGGAAAAAGTCCCAACATTCCTTGACTTGAGTTTTTAAAATGTAAGATTTGTGTACTGTAAATCTGATAGTCAAAATGAAGAGACAGTTCATCATCTGTTAGTTGTAAATCATCTATATGTTGAATTATTTTTAAAAAATTAAAATTCCAAGAACATAAATAATCTACCTAGGAAAATCCAATTTGGCTAATAATATAAGAAAAAGCATTTAATCTATAAATGAAGGAAAATCAAATTACACAGGTATCAGTTTCTATTGACAAGTAGGCAAAGATTTTTTAAATAACTCTACCCAGTGGTGAAAGAGCAGTGAATGAATACATTTTGTGCATTACCAGTGGGAGTATAAATTGATATAAGCTTTCCTGAAAGCACTTTAAAAATATGTATCAACAATTTTATGCAGATTGAGTATCTCAAATCCAAAATACTCCAGTGAGCATTTCCTTTGAGCATCACATCAGTACTCAAAAAGTTTTGGGTTTTGAAGCATTTCACATTTCAGATTTTCAGATTCGGGGTGCTCAACCTGTATGTGAAAGAAAGGAAA